CCGATAATAATCTCGACTGACTAACGAGTATCGATTTAACGAGCATGAAATAATCCGACGAGAAAATAAACACGATCACAAAAGGAGGTTCGAAATAGGTTACCCGTCTTCGGGATCCGTGATTTTGAGCAAGCATAAGTTCCTTCAATTCCAAATTTTAGTGAAAAGGGTGCCACAATATGATTAATTATTCAAATCACATATTGTTTATTTTCAGTTATTGCAAAATATAATCTACAAGTACTTCATGCACAAATAATATACTAACACAAATTAACTTCTCTTGTTTACTACTTTTGCTTTATTTCATTTGTTTCCAACAACCATGCATGAAATGATATACCAACACAAATTCCAAGGTGAGAAAACTTAACGTTTAGGCGGGTCGATCCGTCAGAATTTTTTCAACAAAATGCGTAGTTGTATTGTTGAACATCATCGTATCTTTGTTTAAGTTGTTTATGAAAATAATATGGCGTTTGCCTTACTTTTGAAAGTGTGGATATTTGTTCGAAAAGGATGACTGACTAACAACAATCTTACTTTGTCATAACCAAAACATCGTAGTTGAGGTGAGATTAAACGAGTTTAGATGTTCGATTTTGACTTTCTAGTTATCCTATTCAATTTTGACTTTCTAATTAATTTTCATCAGGCCATGAACAATCCAATGTTCATAGATCCATGCGTCGATGAGGACTTTGTAGCCTCGTTCGGGCAAGACTTTGGGAACTATTTGTCCTCTCCGAGGAGCAACTCGAACGCAAACAACTCGTTCTACACTTCCTTCGGGCTCGAACAACCTAAGATCGTGTCACAGCAAGTCCCTGATAGTGGTACATACTCACACTTCCCAAACATGATAAACCAGAACTGCATGATTAGTACTTATCCCGCTGATCACCAAGGTTCTACTGATGACCCCACCATTTTGAACTACTTTGTGAACCACAATCCTCCACAAAATATCCAGCAGCTGCAGGTGAGTGTCCTGGACCACAAACAGGGGTAGATTTGGAATTTTACTAAATATCGGTCAATGTCATAGAAGTTTTCTTAAATAATTATCTTGAATAGGTGAATTTTGCCGAAGAAAATGTTGGCTCGATGTATAATGTGAATGGAGAAGAAGGTGATGTGGCGATTAAGGCTCAGCCAGCGAAGAAGAAAGCTCGAATTCGGCCGCCATCGCAAACGTACGATCACATCATAGCCGAGAGGCGGCGGCGCGAGCAGCTCAGCCAGTTATTTGTAGCACTTTCGGCCCTTGTGCCCGGTCTAAAGAAGGTACTTAATTTTTCATAATTAGAGCAAGAGAGAGATTAGGGCTACCTCAAAAAATATTGAATTGATTAAAAGTAATACAATAGCATTCAACAAATGAGTGTTCGTTTGAGATTTTTTAAGACTTTCAATACATTAGAAATCTTGATATATTTAATTTAAACTTTTAAAGTCTTCAAGTATTAATTTGTGATTTTAAAAAGTCTTATAGAATAAATAGTTATTTAATTTATTTAAGACTAGAATTCGTTAAGATTTTGTAAATTTTACTTGGATTTTAAAAGCAAAACAATGTACCAAATCTTACTCCAAATTACACCTCTAGACTTGGCTATATTTGCTAAAATTAGCTGACAGCTGATAAGTTAGCTTATAGCTTTATCAGTAATTTTCGAGCTTATGATTTATAGCTGATAAGCTAGTTGAAAAAAATTCCAACGAGCTTATTTGAAAAGCTATCCAAAGAAGTTTATGAAATAAACTCGAGCATTTTAAATAACCTCATCCTACCAAACACGAAACTTATTTAAATATATGAAACTTATGACTATGTTTGGTACAACTATCTGATAAGCTAGCTTATGACTTATCTGTAGTGTTCAATCTTATAGCTTATAGTTTATGACTTATAACTGAAAAACTAGTTTATATGATGAAACTGTGGTAAAATTAGCTGATAAGCAGCTGAAATAAAAATTCAACGAGTTTATTTGAAAAGCTACCCAAAGAAGCTTATCAAATAAGCTCGAGCCTTTTAAAAAAACTCGTCCTAACAAACAGAACTTATTTGAAAACAAAGAGCTTATAAGCTAATCAAATACATTATAAGTTGGCTTATTTGTCTACCAAGCATCGTTAAATTAACCAAATAAGCTCTAAGCTAGCTTACTTACTTAACATTTCACAGTATTCATTCAAAATATAAAAAGTATTAAAAAGTCTCTAGTCTCAAAGTTCACTCGAAATCCCAAACCAATACAACTTATTAATTCCTTTTGATTTTCCAAAAAAAAAAGGGACAATAATAATGAATATTAAAAAGGTAAATACAGTTNTTTTTTTTTTTTTTTTTTCCTTGTTCATATATTCGAAATGTTTTAATCCAATGAAGCGTCATTAATTCTTTGGGCACCTTATGTCATCCGCTCGTTGTCACACGCCACGTCATAAAAATTTAACAAGGAGCATGTCTACAATAAAGAAATACGCGCGATGCTCGCATGCCGGTTAAAATAATTAGAAAAAAGATAAAAAAAAAACATAAATAAATTGATATAAATGCTTGTATATACTTTAGTCACTGATGATCTTGTGAAAATTGATTGGGTTTAGATGGATAAAAGCTCGGTCCTTGAGGACGCCATAAAGTATCTGAAACAGTTGAAGGAGAGAGTCGAAGCTCTAGAGGCAAACGCGGAGAAGCACGCGATGGAATCGGTTGTGGTCGTCAAGAAATCACAGATTATATTGGAGGATAGTGAGGACGAGCAAATTAGCAGCAGCAGCAGCAGCAGCCTTGAGGAGCAACTGTTGCCTGAGATTGAGGTCCGATCGTGCGAGAACCACTTGCTCCTCAAGGTGCATTGCGAGAAGCAAAAGGGCGTGCTCGTCAATTTGGTCAACAAAGTCGAGAGCTTGAATATGATCGTTATCAACACTAATGCCACGACTTTTGGGAATGTCACACTCGACATCACCATTGTTGCCGAGGTACTGATATATTAATTATTTATTTGTTTTAGTCATGTGTTTTACTATTTTACACGTATCACTTTTGTTTTGGGGATAATATATATATATATATATATAGATGGAGAAAGAGTTCAAGTTGACGATGAAAGAAATTGTGACGGCTATACGAGAAGCTATCAAGTCTCGCGGTGCCTAAAATTGAAACATGCATGGTGATAAGGGGTGATCAAAAAGCGAGCTGAAATCGAAAAATCGAGTTCAATCTGGCAATTCAGCGTTCTTAATGTTGACAATGCCTGCAATAGAAATATTAACGGTGTTACTTATTCATTTTCACGAGTAACATAATGAACTGAGTTTGTAGTAGTATTTACTGAATAATAATATATCTTCATCTGATGAACGGGATGCCTTGACATTTATGTATGTGTTTGTTATAAGTAAGGTTGATATGGGATTTTACTTTATTTTCCATGTAGGGATTCAATAAATGTGGGACCCCAAATTGAAGGAGGGGGAAAATGGTGTTTCATTTTTTGTGTATAATTATTTATAGCCAATATTAATCCATGCATTACTAAGCAATAGTCAGTTTTGTGATATTTAATATTAATTGTTTGTTCATTGTTATATACGTTATAGTTGGATTTGTGATATTTCGCTTAAAAATAAACTAAAGCGGATCACGAGATTTATATATATATATATGATGATATGCTTATGTCTGTTTGACAAGGAACAAATTAATCACGATGCAATATATTACAGCCACCCCCGTATCTTCGCAAATCTAATTTAAGGTATTGTTCCACCGATGTTTAAAGATGGCCTTGGGTATCATCAAAAAAAAACATCCACAATACTTTGGTTCGTGTAAAAAGAACTAAAAAAAAAAAAAAAA